GGGGGCACTATAATCCTCCAATTTCCCTCCCTTCTCACAGTGTACCATGTTTTAGTCTACTTCAGCTATTTTCAATTCCTTCAGATTATGTCTCTAGAAGATTTAATCACTGCATCACAGTTTTTCATTATTTGTTTCTTTCACAGGGTGGATGCTGTGGGGGCATCCAGGCAACTGAATGGAATAGCCTCTAGTGGGCTAGTAGGATGAGAAGGTCCAGGGGTAGTTTGGGAAATGAGGAGAAACATCACCTCCCAAGATGGTAAACCTACTGCAAAGGTAATACATGTAAGGATCTTGTTATGCAGTCAGACTTTAGACTCTAGGGGTGTCATGGCTGGAATGCATGGCAGAAAACCGCTAGGGAATGGAAGCACATATCTTTGATGCTGTCTGAGTGTTCATACAGAGTCACCTGAAAATATTTCAAGAGCTTCTTAAACTGCATTGAGTTACAGTACCCTTCCCTGTGCAAGGGAGATTTTGAATGCTGTACCTTAAAGGGGTTTTCTTGTCTTCCTGTGGACCTGTTCGAGACTACATATTGAAAGTTTACAGTAATTTTTGAAGAAATCCCTTATAGGGCTTGAAACACATGAAAATGCCAGCTTATCAGCCATGTAACAATTGAGCAGAATAAAATGTTATTTCAAACGGAGACTTAATGGCTTTATTTTTAACCATACATAATCTTGTTTGGTTGGTTTATTTCAATCTCACCTTCCAGGCTTGACTGTTGTGTTTGTGGAAACTTTCTCCCCGGAAGCCTTAACTATGGATGTTTTTGTTACTAGCATTTCAGAAGTCCGAGAGAATGTGCATATTAACAAAAGGCCAGGTTGGACAGGGCTTGGAGCAACCTGTCTAGTGGAAGATGTCCCTGTCCATGGCAGGGTGTTGGAACTAGGTGAGCTTTAAGGTCCCTTCCAACCCAAACCAGTCTGTGTTTCTATGATTTTATGACCTGTCATGCTTCAGCATAACAGCTTCTTCCTTCCCGTTAAGAAGTAGAGTTGAACCATGAAGTACCAGGACATTAAGTTTCTCTGCTGTCCCAAAAGCTCATCTATATGGTCTATTTCTGAGCCCAGTTTGTTAGTTTTTTAAACTAAAATTAAGTTTGGTGAAATGATTTTGTCCACTCCTCAGAAACCAGTCATTTCCCATGGTACTTTCTGAAATACTTGACAGGCTGAGTTGCTGCTTTCATTTATTAAGGTGTCTTAATTTTGCAGCATGTAAGAATATTAACAATAGAAAATCACACTGGTGGAAAATAAAATGGGATTTCTGATGCAAAAGCTTTTATAAGGATCTATTCCCATATTTCATAAGATGCCAAAAAAACACAAAACATCATTTAATTAGGAAAGCTTTTTTTCTTTGTTCAAGAGTATAGACATTTTGTCTAGTTGAGTACTAGGTTAAGCTTTCAAATGTCTCTGAGAAATGCCTTCCTTATTCTTGCTGATGATCTTTCTCCAATTCTCTGGTATTCATTAATTAAAGTAATTCATATATTCCACTACTGCAATTCACAAATTGTTTCTGTGCTTCACCAGGCTTCGCAGTTGCCAGAAACCAAACCAGTCTGTGCTCGTGTAATATTAGTGAGAGTTGTGTCTTTGTGTTACCTTTAGCTGTGATAGAGAGTCTGAAGCCTTCTCCTCTGGAAAGAATAGAAACTACTTTATTACCTGGGAGTTCTAAATGCATTTGTGACAGAGGAAAGGTTTGATGTAGGAAAGTGAGAGTAAGCACAGATCTTGCTTCCTGGATTTATAAAAATAGTGAAAGTTTTCAGTTCATAATCTGCTTTTCAAGACTCTGCTACTCAAAGTTCTTGTTAATCAATTCAACCTAGATTCTCCAGACGTAATTTGTTTTTTTTTTATTGTGTAGAAGAAATGAGTTATCATGTTTTTGGCTTTTTGTTTTTTTTTGTTTGTTTGTTTGTTTTTTTTAGTGAGGGTCCAGTAGTTTCTACCAAAAGATTGAAGCAATTTACTACAAAGACAAGAATAGTTTCAAATAGGTTCAGTCCCTAGCTATCTTTCAGGTGCCTTCTTTCTACCCATAAAAGGGGTAGACTCATATGAAAATTCTTATGGAACATGTAATGTTCCTCTGTTGATGCTTTTGTGATAATCCTTTCTCAAAAAGGAGAAAAAGATCTTTGCACAAGAATTAGCGGGGCTCACTGAAACAGCTTTAAGCTAGCTTTGAAGGGGGAAGAGTATAAAATCAGGTGTGCTAGAAATAAGCCTGAAGACAGCATGTCAATGTTTAAGGGACAGTGGGCTAGTGAGGTCCTTCAGTCTGCTTCAAGATCTGTTGAATATGCTGGAGCACATTTGGAATGTCTTTATAGTAATGCACACAGCATTAGGAGGTAGAAGCTTTGGCCCAGTTCCAGAGCTGTAGTGTCACTGGCATTAGTGAAACCTGGTGGCATGAGTCCTGTGATTGTTGTGCCATGATGGGAGGTTATAGGCTCTTCAGGAGGGATAGGCAGGGCAAGCAAGGTGGACTATATGTAAGGGAGGGATTGGATTCCGTGGTAATGACAGGTGACATGGTTGGAAGCCTCAGGGTAGAGGATGAATGGGAAAGCAAATACAGCAGATGTTGCTGTGGGACTCTACTATTGACCACCCTGGTGGATGATGACACCAATGGATTGTGGAAGGAATTGATCTCTACTGCCCATGTCCTTACAGGTGATTTTAAATTCCCAGACATCAACTAGGAATATCCTACAATGGACACAAACAGATCCAGGAAATTTCTGAAGCACATTGAAGAGAACTTCTTGGTACTAAAAGAACCAGCTAGGAAAGATGCCCTTCTGGATCTGTCGTTTGTAAACAGAGAAGTGGTGATTGCTGGCTGTCTTGGTCACGGTGACTATGAAGCAGTTGAGTTTCAAATCACTGGTGAAAGCAGGAAAACTGCCAGCAAAACTTCAACCCTGGTCATGGGGAGAGCAGACTTCACGCTGCTGAATGAACTAGTTAGTAAGGTATCCTGGGAATCTGCTTTTAAAGGTATTGGGGTCCATGAATGCCTGTCATTTCTGAAGATCCATCTCTTAAGAACACAGGAGCAGACAATTCAAAAGTATTGGAAGTAAAGGAAGAGGGGCAAAAGACTGGCTTAGCTAAGCAGGAATCTTCTAGAATTTAGGCAGAAATGAAAAATGTATGGACACTGGAAGCAAGGGCAAGACTTATGGGAAGCATCTCAGGTCAGTTGATTTGTTGAGTTTGGAGAAGAGAAGGCTGAGGGGTGACCTCATTACATTGTACAACTTCCTCAAGGGGAGCAGTGGAGGGGAGGGTGCTGATCTCTTTCTGATGACCAGCAATAAGACACAAGGAAATGAAATGAACCTGCATCATTAGGAAAAGGTTCTTCACTGAGAGGGTGATGGTCACTGGAACAGGCTCCCCAGGGTCATGACACTAAGACCGTCAGAGTTCAAGCAGTGTTTGGATGATGAACTTTGTCATATGATTCAGTTTTATATAGTCCTGTGAGAAGTGGGGAGTTGGACTCAATAATCCTTATGAGTTCCTTCTAACTTGAGATATTCTATGATTCTATGAATCTAATCTCAATGACACAGAGAACAGTTTGGATTCCAGGCTTTACACTGGGAAAAGAAGTTACAACCTTCAGGGCAAATATGGAAGGAAACTCAAATTAGATGAGATGACATTGTGATATCTTCATCTGCAACATACTAAATGAAGTTTGAACTTCTCCACCTCTACACTTAATGAGAAACAGGAAGTTTAATGGATTGATGTTTCAGTCTCTGATTCACTGCTTAAATTGTGTTTCATGTGAACTATTGTTGGAAATGCCATTTTGACTGAAGGAAGGGGAAGATAAGGGTGCTGTTTTAATATAACTTGAAATCTTGATGGTAAAAAGTAGTTTATATTTTCAGTAAGAGGCTTTCATCTTCATTGGAGTCTAATGATATTGATCTGATATTAGTACTAAGTATATGCTCTTGAATTCTGACCAGAACCAGATTCTGCTTCTGGTGGAAATTATAAATGTTTCACATTATTCCAAAAAACAGAGCTCTTTCTGTGCATTTCTTTAACTGATCAGTTTCCAAGTGACTGCATTTTGCTCTTCTGTATGATAAAATATTTGTTTCAGGTGTTTTTCTATTCTAAAAGGAATGGTTCTACATTTTATGTTTTGGGTGATCTCTGTGCCCTTCAAGGCTACTTCTAATAAAGTCATGGTAGCTAATGCTGTGTTTGGTTTTGGTTTTCCTCTTCTAACAGCCAGGAAAACAGTCATGTTCCATGATTTATGGAAGAGTCAAAAGCTTTCAAGTTAAATAATAAATAAAACCTGGGAAGCTTCTGTTCAGTTTTTTGTTGTTTGTTTTTTGTTGTTGGTGGTGGTTTGTTTTTTTTTTTTACCAAGAGACCTCTAGGGCTTTATCTTAGAAGAAAGAACCCTTAGACATAACCAAAGTCAATAACCCTCAAGAGACAAATGGAGACAGGGAAAATTAGCAGCAATTCCTTCAATATTTCACCAAAGATAAAAGACTGTGATATGACAAGAATAGACTGTTGGATCTCTGAAATGATCTGAGAAGTCAAATATGAAAGAGATGAGTTACCAGGTAGCCTTCACCTGCATTACTCAGTGCTATATCCATTGCTCTCTCCACAGCTGATAATGCTGTATATAACAAATTTGGTATGTTCTGTGGGGGAAAGTGCTGTATTCTTTTTGTTTAAACTTACTGTGTGAAATCCCTCCTTAATTAAAAACTGGTAGGAAAGCTCATCCTTTATTGACATCCCAAGATGCCAATGATTCAGTGTCTCAATTTACTTCTTTTCTAGGGTTGTTTCTCATTCATCTGCCACTTTTGTTTTATATCTTTATTTCATAGAATGGTTTGGGTTGGAAGGGACCTTAAAGCTCATCTAGTTCCAACCCCTTGCCATGGATAGAGACACCTTCCACTAGACCAGGTTGCTCAAAGCCCCATCCAGATAATAATTTGTCCATTATTATTTAATTTCTGCTCCTCTTCCTGAGTTCTGTTATGATAGGTGGTAGAAAACTGGTCCTATAATACTGAAGAACAGTTTTGGGTATTTAGTGTTTGTAAGACAGAATGTTCGGGTACCATCCTCTGAAAGTTCTCATTCCTGTAATGTGCCAGGAGCTTGTCTTGCAATTTTTAACACTTACTTTACTGTAATTTTTGCTTTTACTACAGTAGAATAAAACTGGTGGCAGGAAAGTTGATCTGAATACCAAATAATAAAATTTCTTTCCTTAATTTCCTTGACATCTTGGGGATTTGCAAAAGCTTAGCCATTGATTTGGCAACATATAACTGATAGATAATAAAAATTCAGCTCCAAACTACTTTAAACCACTTCTGACAGTCATGTTAAAGGAAAGTAAAGGGGAGGGAAACAATTTACTCTCAAATGCATCAAGCAGATCACTTTTTATTGATGTGACATTTGTATCTGTTGTAGAAGATGAGGTCTCCGTGAGAAGTTGTTAATGTACCAGAGATCAACTACATAGCAGGTTTTGTTTATATCCCATGTCTGATATAATATTTATCATTAAGATGTTGAAATCTGTAACAAGAACTAAAGAATAAACAGATAAACAGCCTGGATTAGGCAATAAGATTATTAAAAAGCAAATTGTAAACTACTTGTATACACAAGGTGTCTGACTGCATCCTGAACTCCCCAGAGCCTTTAAACCCATATTAAAGTGCCTGGAGGTGCAAATTATTCTTGTGGAGCCACAAGAAGTGGAGGAAAGGGTGGAATTCATGACTATATGGCCTTTGAGGGAGAGCACTGAATGAAATCTGCGTGAGTAATGTGAATGAAACACAGTTATAAGCATAGATTAGAACAGTATTTTATGACGTTGCTCTGTTTGCGCTGTGTAAAACCTTAATCTCAAGTTTTGCTAGGTATAGCTTTCTCTTTTATTTTTAAGCCTCTTTTGTGTTGGGGAGCAAGATGCATCACAAACAGTAGACCCATCTACATTGCTAGAGATGAAAAACTCAGAAGAATATGTATGCAGATAGTAGGAAAGCACCCACACCTTGAGACACTTGAGAGTGCTTCCTACTACTCTGTTAAGCATTAGTATAGGGACTGAGGTTCCCAAATATCAGCCTTTGGGAAGGAATTCCCTCTGGCAGAACAGTCCTCTGCTCTTCCTGAGTTGAAGCAAATGGCAAAGAGGCAGCCCACATCTCCAGGCAGATCTGGGTATGCTGTGCCTCTTTAGGCTGAAAATTACTTTAATCCTGTAAGTTATTGTTCATTTCAGTCATACAAATATTTGAACTGACGTAAAGTAAAATAGAATAATTTTGGGAATAATCCCTACATTTCTTCTGTAAAGCAAAGGAACAATACAAACAAGGCTGATTTTATACAACATAAAATGTACTAGCTAACACAGGTGAACTAAAGCTAAACTGTGAATATATTTCTAATCTATCAAAGCATTGTTTTATATTGGCCAACTAGGCTATTACATATTGATGTAATATTTTTTCCAATAGTTTTCTAACATTGCTATATTATAGCGATGCTTGTGATAGTTTATGAAAAGAGCTACATGAGCACAAAATAAGAGTTCTGCATCATTCAGATGATGCAATGAGGGAAGCAATATTTTTATTTAATCCTCTATAGTTATGATTTTTAATCAGCCCTGGGCTGATTACAAAAATATTTGACTACTTCACAGTCATTAAATCCTTCAGATGCATAAAGTAATGTGAGATGCCCCTAAACGCCATGGGCCTCTGGTCAACACTTAAAAATACAGTACATACAAATGGCAGCACATTGGCTACTGTATTAAATAACCAAGCGGCATGAAAGTGCTCAACTTCTCCAAATATTGCATTCAGAATAGGTTTCTTTAACAAGACTTCATGTTCAGATAGAGTAGATTCTGAAATCAAGTAGGTCATTTGTTTATCTTTGCAGCTTCTGTTGTTTGATCGTTACTCCAATTTTATGAAGAAGCTGAGGCACAGAGATGAAGCATTAAGAAAGTTAGGAGTTAAAACCTCTTTCCTACTGTCTTTGATTTGGAAACCTGAGCCTCTTTCCCAACAGAAGGCACCACTTATTCTATTTAAATTCATTATCACATATCTTTATAGCTCTTTGAGGATCTGAGATACTACAATTGAAAATCATCTTAACATGTCTAAAAAGAGAAAAGCTTCTTTAGTCATGTCTACTTTCTTAAGGATAAGTAGAAATTTTCATAGTAAGGGGTTAATAGCTAAACTAGATAATATTGTCCAGTTGCATTAAGTACCCCTATTTAGTTTTTCTAGGAATACTAAAGATTCAATGCTGCACAGTCTAAGTACATATTAAACATTACAACTAGTTGCTGATTTCCACAATAATGTGTAAGGTTGGCAAAAATCCACTAGTAATAAATCTGAGAGCCATCATAACTATTTCCTTTACTGCAGTTAAAAGTTGAATTTAAAATTACCAGCATGAAAAAGAAGTGTTCTTTTAATAGAAATTGCAGTTTGATACTGAGCTGGTGGTCATTTAAAAATGGAGTTTCAAAGATGAAAAAGTGCCATGGTCCAAAAAGAAAAAAAAAATAAATTGAAAAATGAGGCTTGCCCACCACATTGGATCAGTCTGTGTTCACAGCAACTAATTCAAGATGCATATAAAATTTATTCATCCTGGATGGTTGCAGAGTGAAACCACTAATTATTCACTTGCTTCAATCAAAATTCTAATTAACATGATTAATAACAAAGAAGTAGAAAGTGTGAGCTGGGTTCAGGAATTTGTGTCGAATTAATGACACCATTGCTATACCTGCCATGCTCTACTATGTCAGTGTCGGGTGATCAGGCTGTGTTAGCTGAAGAACCTCTTGAGTATTAATCCAAGATCAAATGATAGTTCTTACCTTTCCTTAATGCCATGTTTGGGAAATTTCTCATCTCCACTATTTTTTCCAGTACTATTCCCAGTCTTTTTTTTCTTCTAGTGGATCTGTTTCAGACAGAATGCCACCAGAAATATTTTTCTAATGGCCTCTCCAACAGCCCAGTTAACAGGCATATGATACTTAAATAACAGCTGAAAATTCCTGAGAAAATCTAAATAGACCAGACGTGCAGCCATTTACAGTAGATGTATTTTTCTGTTTTTATTTCCTCTTTGATTAAAAACACCACGTGAATAACTTTCTAGAAGGTGAAAATTGAAATCTGGTTTTCATGAGATCTGATGGGTGGGAAATGTAAACCTAATCTTCTATTTAGAAGGGCTTTGCTTGAAATTACTGGCATGCATTTTCAGTTCCACTTGACTGATTGTGTTCTTCAGCTTCCTTCATTTATGGTGAAGGAGGAATATTGGATGTTACTTACTTGCCAGAGTTTCAGATTTTTCCCAAACCACTTGTGAGCAAATCATTCATGTAGGAGAATCCAATGTGGAACTTGGTGAGAATTTCAGAATTAAAACTGTAAGGTATGCTGTGTACAGAATTAAATAACAAGGAGCCTCTATTCCATGATGCTTAGAAATTACTTTCTGAAAAAGATACAGTATTCTAGGTTCTCATAAGGCATCACATTATTCATTCCTCTTTTTTCAAGTTAGGCACACAGAAAACATTGACACAAGTAACTGTAATCAAGAAACATGTAAAAACTAAATCAAGGATTATCCAGATGAGAAAATCTAATTAACGTCTTCAGAATCATAGAATGGCTTGGGTTGGAAGGGACCTTAAAGCTCATCTAGTTCTAGCCCCTTGCCACGGGCAGGAACACCTTCCATAATGAAGGATATAACCTCCATTTTTAGTCTCAAAAGCATATTTTGATAATTTTTGAGTAATTTATTATTTCTGGAGTTATCATAGAGCAAACAAGAGAAATAAGAAAAAATGATGTTTCTTTGGAAAGAAAGCATGGCTGTAAATATAGACTGATGTGAAACCTCCTAAATATAATGGAAAGGCACTTGACTTTCAAGAGGTGTGTTGGAGCTTTGCCTCAGTAATAGGTTGCCTGTCCATTCAGCTTTATTGATTTTTTGTTTAATTTGTTTTCATACTAGCTTGAACAGAAACATCTTTTGTGTTGATTAAATTGTACATATGCATTTTGATGGTTTGCATAACTACGGATAACCTTCAGATGTGTTGGAAACAACCAAAATGTAAAAGAGGAAGGGCTGACTTAGAACTCAGAAGAGTGATTTGGTTTCTAGTTAGGGTATATTTGAGAAAAATGAAGAGTTAAATTACTTCAGAGGAGGGTTACAGAGCCGTTGGCGTATGGTGCTCAGAATCATGCCTGCCACACTGTCATACCAAGAATACCATAGTTATTTCTAGTGCCCTGCAGATGTGAAGGATGAATTCAGTCTCATTATAATACATTATGTTCTCCACTGGAAGAGTGCATATTCACTAGTTCTGCCTCTGAATTTAGTTCATGTAAGAAATTATATTGAACAGGATATACTGTAGACAACAGTCAATCCTTTTACTTCTCTGTGCATACCTATATTGATTATGAGTATTAAAATGAAACTGAATATGTGAGGGGTGTAAAATTTGCCAATGGTAAATTAATTTGGCAAATCTTAGCTTTAAGATTTTATTCATATTTTAATAACCTTTTTATTAATTTTACTGTGTTATTTTATGAAATTCATAATAAAACTGTGCACACACAATCAATTAAATCCTCTACTTTTTACTTTGTTTTTTTTAGACAAAACTCATTGGAATAGAAATTTGCCATACTTCACCCCCTTCTTTGCCCTCTTCAATATAGATGTAGTTCTTATAGAAGCTCTGCTATGGTAGAAAATATTTTTTTATTACTAGCAAATGATGAAATGGCTATACTGTATGCATCTACATAAAGATTATGATGCTGTCTTCAAGTGCAGGATCATATTTTAGTTATTCTTTCTCTTA